ATCCAGGAAGAGAAATGGTGATCAAAGCTTGAAAGGAGGTTCTCGGCCATTCTCGCGTACCAGGAAGGTTTTTCTCGGCCATTCTCACGTACCGCCGGTGGATTTTATCGGCCAAAACGCGTAACGGCTAAGAATTTCTCGGCCAAAATCTCCGGGCGCAGACACGTTTCCAAAATCGCTTGTCCGGGGAACCTTCTGGTCCGATTCAGTTGTCGGGTGCTCCATCAAAGTTGGATAGGATTGGATCACGGTTCCAGCGCAAGTGGAATCATGGAATTCGGACACTTGAGCAGAGAGTTAAGCTCGTCGGAAGGAACTCCTGTCTCGCTGCCATTTTGGACCGACCCGATGAGCTCCGAAGAATGCGAAGGACGGTGCACTTCCAGGCCGATTCAGTTTACGGAGCCTTCATAAGAATCAGATATATTTGAGTCCTCTTTCCAGAACGTCCAAGATCATTCAATTCGAAGCTATGAGCAAGATGATAACGTTTCCGGAATAGACACATGTTTAGACGCCTCTCTCTGATCTTGTAGATGCACTACGAAGATGAGCCCTCCAGGAAACCTTCCACTTCCCAAGAACCGAAGCTTCCTTCACCAAAGTTGAATATATATGAGTCTTATGTCCTCTGCAACCGGAATCACACAATTCGGACCAATATCCTGGAAGTTAAGCCTTCCGGAATGCGAAGTGGTCCAATCTGCTCTGAATGCTGCGAGATAGTCTTGCGACCTGGTTAACTCGCAGGCCTGAAGATGAATGCCTGGAAGTTGATGCTGCGAGTTGAGAAGTGCGGGTAAGCTATCACTAGATGAGGTCTGAGGCTCCCGAGCAAGAAAAACGCTAAATCCACAATCGTGCGACTTAGGCATGCGAGTTGGCCGCGCCTGGAACTAAGCTGCACGATCACTCGCAATCTAATCCGACTTGAGCCTGCGACCTGTGTGTAATGGAGATCAACCCGCACACATGTACATTCCCCAGAAACCGCCTTGGTCCTGCGAGTTGAAGATGAAGAAGACTAAGCCGCACAAAGACTCGCAAAACACTCCTACTTGGGCGTGCGGCTAAGACAATGCGATTTAAGTCTCACAAGACAAGTTCTTCATCTACTGCGACTTGGGCATGCGACCTAGGAGATACTGGACCAACCTGCAGGATTTCCACTTTATCCCTTAAAGCCGGGTCAGGACCCGGTTTGTTCCGGGCTGACCTGGTTCGTTTTTAGAGAGATATAAATAGTTTTTAGGGTTTTTTCCTAGAGAGCTAAGCTTTATTCCCTTTGTCTCTTGCCTCTTTTGTGAAAAAGACTCCACTAAGAAGAGAAATATGGATATTTGAGTGTTTAATCAAGAGAGTTTTAAGAGATCTTTGGGTTTAAAGCTGCAAATCTATCATTATCCATCTTCCCCATCTCTATTTCGCATCATTAATCATGCCAATCTTCTCAACTTGCAAAGGTTTACGAGAGATTAGTATGATTAGTGAGTAGTCACCTTAATGAGGTTCTAGATATGTAGGTTAGGGTGCTAAAGTGTTAGATTAGGAGTGCTTAGGGCTAGATTCATTGATTCATCTCTCTAAACAGCTGTTCTCTATGCTAGATCCTTGCACATCACTTGAGATCTAGATTCTGGCAATTTCATGCACCAAAAGAGTTTGATGAAATTCCTGAAAGAGCTGTATTAGAGGTTTAGGCATTTGCTGCATGATGATGTATTGTTATTTGCTTGAAGGATCATTAGAACTGTCTATTAATGCATATTGATTCATATTTCACAAATGATAATTTTGTTTGAAAATGGATTAGTATAGGGGTTAATACCTATATGAGAGGATTAACCTAGATTAGAGTTCTTAATCATTTGAATCATGTCTCATCATTGTCATTAACATTTCTAGTTTAGCACCAAAGCACCCTAACCAACTATCATGTCTAGAATCTCATGCCTCCATCATATCATAATCATATCACTTGTCATTGTTTAGTTCTTCTTTAGTCTTTAATCCTGTTTTTTAAATTTGTAGTTGTCATTAGTTAATCAAAACCACACTTGTTTGCTTGAATTAAGAACCTGATCACATAGTTTAGTGTCTAACACCACATATGGATTGATAAACCCCTTGTACTACAAGACAGGGGATTGATAACCTCTACAAAGAGCCTTGAAAACTCTTAGTTATCAATAAGTCACGTACCGCAGCACGTATTTCAGCCGATAAAAACTCTTTTCGCGACAAACAAGTTTTATCCGATAGAAACTTGGTCCGATGCATGATTTGGCGGATCCAAGTTTCCCAGTAAAGGTTTTGGCCAGTATTTTCCATCATGTGGTAAGCTTTTATGCCGATAACCTCCAAAACCCAATTTTCACATTTTTCCACATTTTTTCACCATTCCTTCACCTGGTTCCATCTTTTCCACTCCAAATGACCTCTAAAGCACCTGATTGACACTCCAAACATGCAAGACTCACTTGGACCTAATGCAAAGTCCTAAAACTCTAAAACAAATATAAAACATGAAGAATCTATCAAAAATGTATGAATGGGACTCAATTCTTGGACCAAAAATGCATCCTAAACATGCAATGACATGAATATATCAACTCCCCCACACTTACCATTTGTTTGCCCTCAAGTCAACTAGAACTAAAGAGAGAGAGGGAGAGTTTAGGAGTTCACATTTCTTTAAAGGGGGCGAGTAGATCATCAAAAGAGTTATCTGCTCTTTTATCTGCTCCACACTTATCTGCTACATTATCTGCTCCTTTCTGATCTCAAATTTTGATATCAAATTCTTGAAGCAGGAGGATCCATCATATCAATCGTGGTTTTGCGTCTTTCGTAGACATTAAATACTTTATCGCCGCATGATCAGTGTGGACTATAGCCTTAGATCCTACGAGAAAAGAACGGAATTTCTCAAATATGAATACGACAACTAGAAGTTATTTTTCTGTTGTTTCATAATTGCATTGAGCTCCGTATAGAGTTCTACTTGCGTAGTAGATTACGTGCAGCTTCTTGTCTTTTCGTTGCCGGAGAACTGCTTTGACTAAATCGTCACTTGCATCACACATGATCTCGAACAGTAGTTCCCAATAAGGTGCTTACACTACTGGAGAAGAGGCAAGGGCTTATTTTATTTTATGAAACACGGCTTAGCATTTGTCATTGAACTCGAAGTTCGTTTCCTTGCAAAGCAAACGCGTAAGAGGTCTGTCTATTTGAAAAAAACCTTTTATGAAACGCAAATAAAATCCAGCATTTCCTAAGAAACTACAGATGCCTTTTACATTTGTGGGAGGTTGACGGCTAGTCATAACTTCAATTTTTGCTTTGTCAACTTCAATTCCTTTTCCTGAAATTCTGTGCCCAAGCACGATTCCGTCGCGTACCACAAAGTGACATTTTTCCCAATTTAATACTAAGTGCTTATCTTCACATCTTTGCAGAACTTTACCAAGGTTGGCTAAGCATTTTTCAAAAGAAGATCCATAGACGGAGAAATCGTCCATGAAAACTTCCATGAAATCTTCAATAAATTCTGTGAAGCTCGACATCATGCATCGCTGGAAGGAAGCAGGTGCATTACACAATCCAAAGGGCCTACGATGGTAGGCAAACGTGCCATATAGACAAGTAAATGTTGTTTTCTCTTGATACTCTAGTCGAATAGGGATTTGAAAAAATCTAGAGTATCCATCAAGGAAGCAATAGTAGGGGTGATTAGCTAACCTTTCTAGTATTTGATTAATGAAGGGAAGAGGAAAATGATATTTTCTAGTTGCTGCGTTCAGTTTCCAGTAATCTCACATTCAATTGATCGATTAACTGTTTCAGCTTAGCTTTTTCTATCTCCTTCTTTGGGGCTCTTAAATCTCTAGGGTATGTTGGTTTAGGTTTATATACACAATCTGGGGGAGGAGAGACTGGATCATCTTCGAGGATTTCTTGAAACATCCCTTCTCTTATCTCTTCTCCATTATTCTCTCCTACCACTATTTCTTCAACGTCTTCAATCGTAATTCTTTCTCTCTCCTTTTCCTTTTCCTTTTCATTTCCCTTTTTCTCTTCTTCGGGGTCTTTAGGAAATTCAGGCTCTTTGTAAGTTAAACCACTCCTAAGTGTAAAGGCTTTCACATGATCAGAGGGGTCAGTTTCACTTGAGATTTCGAAAGAACTTTCACTTGGCTCCTCCTCGAAATTATCTATGTTATTAGACTTATCTCTTGAGATTTCGAAAGAACTTTCACTTGGCTCCTCCTCGAAATTATCTATGTTATTAGACTTATCTCGGACCATCAAACTAAGAATGGTAGAAAATTTATCACTGAAATCTTCTTGCATGCTTTTTGTTTTGGAGCTAAGATCGTTGATTTCCCTAGACTTAGATTTTTCAAGCTCTAGAATTATTTTGTTTAGATTTTCAGCCTCAGAAGAAGGGAGGCTTGAATAAGGATTGGAATTAGATTAAACAGCCCATATTTGTTTGGAAGAGTGTCTGGGGTCGTATGACTTGCGACCGTGGTAGAATGGTCCTTGGCCGCGGTCAGCATCAGCACAACTGTGGTAGAAGCGAACTTGGCTGCGGTCCGAAAGAATGGACCTGCGGTGATTAGGTACTAAAGGAAGATCTTGAATTTGATAGACTTCTTCAGTGTTTATCATCCCTTGGTTATAAGAGTCCATTGGGTTGTTCTAGTCATCAAAATTACACGCTGTTTGTTCCTTGTCTGATTGTTGCAATCCAATTTGACTCATTATTTAGTAGAGAGACTTCATAACTTCTGAAATCTCTTATTTTTCCTTTGGAAGTACAGACTTACCAAATATTGCTTGGTTACGGATACTTCCTGCAAGGTTGTTCGATAAAAACATGAGAGTCTTCTGCAGATCTAGTGGAGAGATCTCCATTAGTTGTGGTGTCGAGAGAATGTTGTAATTCTTGAGTTATGCCTCATTAGAAGATAATCATCAGGTATTCATCGGAAAATTTGTGATGTGGACAATCTCTTTGATATTCTTTAAATCTCTCCCAAGTATCATCAAGATCTTTGTCCTCCTTTTGTTTGAAATTTCTTATCTTGTTTCTGAAGAGGTTCGAACGAGTTCTAGTGTAAAAGCGATTTAGGAAAACCGTTTTACAGTCTGCCCACGTTTTTATAGATGCAGGTTGCCAACATTTTAGCCACTTGCTGGCATTGTCTCTCAAAGAGAACGGGAAAAGACTACACTTATGGTAATCCCCATTTGATGTAATGGTTGCACACAACTCTTTGAACGACTCGATATGATCCATCGGGTGTTCGTTTGAATAACCATAGTATTGATTTTGTTGAACTAAATTGATGTAAGGTACCTTTATTTCAGTTTTACCATACTCAGGTAAGGGTGGTTAAATAGCTCTTCGATCTCCCAAAAACTTTTTGAGTCATTCGAAATCTCCAATTAGCTCATCATCATCTTCATGTTTTGTTGATCCGATCAGTTCCTCATCGTTATTGGTCGGATTGTTAAGCTCATCATCACTCGGACCATCATTCGTAATAGGTGGTGGATTGCCAAGAGCACTAGGAACACGTTCCTGGTCTCTCATAGTCGTGTAACCTGGAAAATTCAAAGGGAAAAGTAAAAGTAAACAAGTGTTCTAATAGATTTAAGCTGCAATTCGCAACGAAAAAAAATCAAAGTCCGTGGCAATGGCGCCATAAATTGATGCAATGAAATGGGGGTGTGTTTACTAAGCTTCAGGTTTTAAATTTATAGCCCCTAAATATCTGAAGTGCACAGATGTGCGCTGTAAGACTTAGGGTATCGATTTACAGAGACTTAGTTGTTTTAGTACGAGTTCATGCTAATGCCTAAATCAGACTAGAACTAAAAAATTTGGGTTTTTGGTTTTCAGTGTCACTAAATCTAAATTAGAAAGCCAGTAGAAAGCGATTGAAAATGAAAGCAGGTAAAAGCAAATAAAAATCAAAGGTGTGACCAATTAAAAGCGGATGTTGGGCTTAAGGGTATTCACAGGGATTCATGGACTAAACCTATGACAGAAATAAATGATAAAGGTAATCGACTATGTATGTTTTAGAACTCGAGGTACGGTAGTATGATTAGCCTAATTTTGCAGCATTAACCAACTATCTCTCGTAACTCTGACCAGTAGTAGGTTTTCACTCTGGCCCTCAAAGGGAGTAGATGCAATAGATTGAAGAAGACTCATCAACATTCACAACTCATTCATATGTAAGTTTCCAGTCATACGGCAGAATTGCTCGTTTCACCCTAGGTCAGACAATCAATAAAAAATTTCGCAACATATCATATCTAGATCGAAATCTAAGTGGCCAGCAGATAATCACGCAATAAAAATAAAGGGAAACGAAGAAAACCTAGAAGATTATTGATCCTAAATATAATGATTCATAGAAGAAGACAAATGAAACTCTATTTTAAAAAATCCTTTTAAACCCAACTGGGGAACTACTCAAACATAGTGTATGTAAACATCATCGAGTAATAGAAAATTGCTGGAAATTAAATAGAACAAGGAAAAAAAACGAAGAAATGAGTTGCAAATGGAGGCGCGATGATGCTCTCCTCGGCGGCTCCTTCTTTGAAGACGGCGGCTTCTCTAGGGTAAAATAAGGTACACAGGAAATTTCTGCACATCCCTTTAGAATGACCTAAAGGCGGTATTTAAAGCTTCCTTGAGTTGTCTTTAACACTTAAGGCTTCAAAAATAATGAAGGAAATCGACTTGGGCTTTAATTAGGTCGTCTAGGAAGTGAACGATGTCCGGCCATGGTTGCGGTGCTTGTACCCGCGGGGAAGCATGGCTTGGGCGCGGTCCCGGTTCATGCTCATCTTGGTGACTGCATTTTCTGTCTTTAGTGCATCAGGAGTATCTGAAGATCTAAACATTGGATTGTCTCTAACCCAAGTGCATTAGAAAGCTGGTTGTATTCTCTGTGTTGTCTCAAATTTTGGGGATGATCGGATGGTGAGAAGGTCTTCATCGCTTGTCCCATTTCTGAAGCCCAAATCATTTTCACAGCCTCAATTCCGGAACCCTAAACACCATGGAGCATTGGAGACTATAAATAATTATATTTAGGTCATTTTTTAAAGAGAAAAGAAATACTTTAGAAAAGAATGCCCCGAGAGAAGGTACATGTATCGGCCCTTCAAACTCTTTCTTGTTATTCTTGTGAGAGATGACTGGCTTCAGGCCAAGACCTAGCATTTCTAACTCGTTCAAGTGAATGACCCCGAGGTTGTAGGTTGAGAAGAACATGCATGCCAAGACTCTGTTGGCATATCTGATCGCCGGGTTTCTGATGCAGCTTGTCTTGCTCTTTCCTCCCACATACGGCCCAAAGGCGATGGTCTCCCATAGAGCAGCAATCTCCTCCTTCGGGTACACAAATTTTTCCAAAGAGCTTTCATTCCTCACGAAGCCAAAAATCTCATCTAGCTCTTTGAAACTCACTTTGTTGCTGACCCCATCCATTTCAAACTCAATGTGACCGAAACCTCTCCAATATAAGCGCTTGGGATCTCTTTTGGGGTACATGAACACTTCTAAAGTGGCTAAGAACTGTTGAGTTATCCCTTCGTAAGCCACATCACTCATCTCGAAGAATGTTGCCAAGCCCATGTTTTGGAAAGTGATACGATCTGAGGAGATCAACTCTGAAGATAAGGCAACAGGCGAATTCGAGATCGTAACTTGGAGGAACAGATGCGATGATATTGGTGCGATGAAGCAGCGATGGTGGCGCGATGAGAGATCGATGGTGGTGGGCGGATCGAATCGATGGTTTGAGATGGTGGTGTGATGCGGCGGATCGAGTGAGATGAGAAGATGATGGTTTGGTTTCTCAAATCGATGGTATGGTGGAAGAGATAGAACCGATGGAATGGTGGGATAGAAGAATCTCTTGTAAACAGATTAGTTTTTAAGAGATTCGAATTTCAGAGTTTTTTTAGTTCTCAGAAATCAAAGAGAGAAGAACACGTTAAAAGTTTGATCAAAATTCTTCACTGAATAATACTTAGGCGATTTTCTCTCTTAAATAGAGTTAGAGAGAAATCGCAGCCCTAATACAAAACTACATGAAGTCTGAAATAAAAACAACACGAAGTTTGATTAAAAAATAAAACAGCGAGGCGTCCCTTCTAAATCCTAAGTGGTGCGCCTAAAACAACTAGTGCACAAGTCATTGTGACTTTGCACATTATTACCCATTAGTAACAACTTCTAAGTAACTCGACGTAGCAATGATTTCTGCCTCGTTAAAAACCTTGGAGAAGAACCTCCTTGCCTTCCAAAATCCTCACCAAGGAAAAGAGTACAGAATCATCACCTAAGTTACCTAGTCATTGTTACTGGGTTCTTCATTCTTCAAGATAGAGATGTTGAAGATGTGAGCTCCAGCCTCCTGGTGATCGCTGTCCTCCGTGGCAATGAGTGCGTGAGCCTCCTTAGCCATCTCTCTAGCTCTGGAACGAGTGATCCTGCCAGCTACCTCTGGTTCCTCCTCCTCTGATCTGGTCACGATCATATCATCCTCTCCCTCTTGAAAAGGATTTGCCCTCAAATCTGAATCTGCAACAAAAGGAAGCAAGTCAGAAACATTGAAAGTATCAGAAACATCATACTTACCTTGAAGATTAATCTGATAGGCGTTGTTGTTGATTCTTTTGATGACTGCGAATGGTCCATCAACTCTGGGCATTAGCTTGTTCTTTCGCTCAGCTGGAAATTGCTCCTTCCTCAGATGGATCCACACCAGATCTCCTTCTTCGAAAATCAGCTCCTTTCGTCCTTTGTTGGCATGCTTCTCATACTGCTTTGTCTTCTTCTCGATGTTCTCCTTAGCCTTAGCATGTATTCTTCGGACCTGTTCAGCTTTCTCCTTGCCATTCAAGCTGCATTTTCCACTTAAAGGCAAAGGGATCAAGTCTAGAGGTGATTGTGGATTAAACCCATATACAATTTCAAAAGGAGAAAAGAGAGTAGCGGAATGCTTAGCGTGATTGTAAGCAAACTCGACATGAGGCAGACACTCTTCCCAAGTCTTGAGGTTACTTTTCACCAAAGTCCTTAGAAGTGTGGACAACGTTCTATTCACCACCTCGGTCTGTCCATCGGTCTGAGGATGACACGTAGTTGAGAATGAGAGCTTTGTTCCCAGCTTAGCCCAAAGCGTTCGCCAAAAATGTCCTAAGAACTTCGTGTCTCGATCTGAAACGATAACCTGTGGCATTCCATGCAATCTTACTACTTCCCTGAAAAAAAAGTTAGCTACATTCACAGCATCATCTGTCTTGTGGCTAGCGATGAAGTGAGCCATCTTGCTAAACCTGTCAACAACCACAAAAATAGAATCTCTACCATTTCTGGTTCGAGGTAAGCCAACTACAAAATCCATAGCGATATTAGTCCAAGGTTGAGAAGGAATAGGCAAAGGAGTATACAAACCGTGAGGTTGAACTTTACTCTTAGCCATCTTACATACGACACATCTAGAGCAGATTTTCTCAACGTCTTTCTTCATGTTCGGCCAGTAGAAGTGCTCTTGTAGCCCAAGAAGTGTCTTTGTGACGCCGAAATGTCCAGCTAATCCACCTCCATGAGCTTCTCGTACCAGTAACTCTCGAATGGATCCTCATGGTATGCACAATCGGTTACTGAAGAACAAGTATCCATCCTGTCTATAAAATTTCTCATAGGCAAACTTGTGACATTTGGCATAGCTCTCAGAAAAGTCAGTATCAGATTCATAAAGATCTATAATGTGTTCAAATCCAATCAACTTTGATGTTAAAGTCGAAATAAGAGTGTACCTCCGGGATAATGCGTCTGCGACCACATTATCTTTACCTTTTTTGTACTTAACAATGTTGGGGAATGTCTCAATGAACTCCATCCATCGCCCATGTCTTTTGTTAAGCTTCTGCTGACCCTTGAGGTGCTTTAGAGACTCGTGATCGGTATGAATGACGAACTCCTTAGGCCATAGGTAATGCTGCCACGTCTGGAGAGCTCGAACCAATGCGTACAACTCCTTGTCATACGTGGGATAATTCAGC